GGTCACGCCGCAATCCCTTCTCCTCCATTCTCCTCTCGGGATCTTGGGCACGCACGCACACGCGCCCGGCGTGAGTTTTAAGCCACCGGGTCCGGGACACGAACCGCGGTCGACTACGTGGGAGTCCAGCGACATAGCCATTACGCTAACTGCTGGTTCCCTGATTAATTTTTAAAGTGCAAGCTCTAACTCATTTTTTAAACCTTATTGTTGGATATCGTTAAACATCTAACAGTCTGATCAAATTAGCCCTCGGTCACAGTACCATTAAGCCTCACTGGCCCATCACACACTCCCAACCCCCCACTCCCAAGTTAATCCTTGCTTCCTTTTTTTTTTTTTTTTTTTTAAGGTTTTTGCCGTAGGGCACATGCACTTGCTGGAGAGGAAAGGAGAGACAGAGACAATGAGAGGGATAGTAAGAAATCCTCCCAGGGGGCGGGGGGTGGGGGGGATGGCCATGCCTCAATCCCTTCTCTTCCATTCTTCCCCTTGCGATTTCAAGCTTGCATGCACACGTGCCTGTTGTGATTTTCAAGCCTCCAGGTCTGGGAATCGAACCTCAGTTGACCATGTGGGAGTCTAGCACCTTAACCACTATGCCACCTGCCCATCCCTCCTTTGCATTCTTAAAGCATTTGGTTTATCCTGCTAACATAGTACATCCATAGGTACTATCAATCTCTCCCGTGGGACTGCAGCCTCTCTGAGGGCAAGAACCATGTCTTACTCACTTTGTGGCCTGAGCGCCTGGCACAGTCCTTGCTTCAGAACAGGTGTTTGGGGGCTGGCCCAAAGCCTAGTGATTAAAGGAGCCAGATCCCATATGACTGATCACGCAGTCTGAGTCCAGGTGGATCTCAATCTTGGCGGCTTGGAAAACATAGCAGGCACATGTGCATGCATACCCCAAATCCTGAGAGGATGGAGAAATGAGGAAAAGGGATTGCAGCATGACCACGCCCCATTGGGGATGTTTTCTCCCTCTTCCTCTCTCTCACTGTCTCTCCACCTCTCTTTGGCAAGCACGTGCATCCATCTGGCAATTAAAAAGAAAAAAAGAACAGGTGTTCAACAAATGTTTTTGGAAAACAGAATTCTCAGGACTGGGTAACAATGAAAATGCTGAGGAATTTTTTTTTAATTTTTGCCACAGAGCATGTATACTCTCTGGAGAGATATAGGGAGAGAGAAGAGGAGAAAGCACGCCCTATGGAGAACGGCCACACCTCAACCCCTTCTCCTCCATCTCTCCCCTGTTTTGGGATTTGGGGCACACACATATCCTACATGTTTTTTAAGCTTCCAGGTTGGGGACTTGAACTGAACAGCCAGCTATATGGGATACAGCCATCTTTTTTTTTTGGAGAGGTTTTTACTATAGGGCGCATGCGCTCACCAGAAAGAGAGAGAGATAGAGAGACAGAAAGCGAGAAATCACCCCCCAGGGGGGATGGTCACACCACAATCCCTTCTCCTCTCAGGATCTTGGGCACACACACACACGCGCCTGGTGTGAGTTTAAGCCACCAGGTCCGGGACTTGAACCACAGTCAACTACATGGGAGTCCAGCAACATAGCCATTACTCCAACTGCTGGTCCGGGGATACAGCTATCTTAACCACCATGCCATCTGCTGGCCTGAGTATGATTAATAACAGAGCAAGGGTCCCCAGTCCTTAGGGACCTTGGCTGTGCCCTCTATTTCGTAAGACAATGCCCAGCTGCACTCTCAAGGTGCATTAGGAGGTTGGTGGGTAATGGCTGTCAACACAACAGAGAATTCAACAGGATGAAGAAATTGCTATGTTATTGAATCAAACTGAGGGGTCAGGAAGTAAGTACCCTTTCCCATTGTTGAACTACGTTTTTCAGATTTCAAAAATTGGAAAAGAATTTTAAAGCAAGGTAAAAGCC